CCTTGCGGTTGAGGTCCAGGGGTGCACACTGCGATCGGATCCTTGCGCTTGAGGTCCACGGGTGCACACTGCGATCGGATCCTTGCGGTTGAGGTCCAGGGGTGCACACTGCGCTCGGATCCTTGCGGTTGAGGTCCAGGGGTGCACACTGCGATCCGGAGCTTGCCAGACAAGATCGGCGAAGCAGATTGGCGAAGCAGATTGGCGAAGAAGATTGGCGATGAAGATTGGCGATGAAGATTGGCGAGGAGGTTGGCGAGGAAGGAAGGAAGGAAGGAAGGAAGGAAGAGGAAAAACAACTGTGATAAAATCTAACAACCCTCACCTGGCAGGTGGGGAAAAAGCCTTGAGAAAACCAATAACAACCTAGGAAAAACAAAAAACAAAAAACTTTGGAAAACAAAAAACACAAAACACAATTCTGGGGAAGTCTTGAGGAAGGGGGGGTCCAGCCAAAAGTATCTGAGAATTGTTTTTTGTTTTCCCAATGCTTTTTTTGTTTTTCCTAGGTTGTTTTTGGCTTTCCTAAGGTTTTGTTGTTTTTGTTTGTTTTTTACTGCAAATTATTCACTGTTTTTTTGTAGTTTTGCTTGTATTTGTTTTTGTGGTTTTGATTGTATTTGTGAAAGCTTGTCTACAAATACAGAAAACCAAAAAACCCAGGCCCCATGGCCCATGGCCACCCCTTCTGTAAATATAATAGGCAAAAAATTGTGTTGGAGCGTCCATCTGCAAGTGAACGGACCAGCTGTAATGGATTTTCTCCCAGGTAGGCCGTAGCTCGAGTCGTTTTCGAGGCTTCGCAAGGAAAAACATTTTTTGATCGATGTTTGGGGTGTGGTGTACCCCCAACCAATTCCAATCCACTCCAACTCCCCACCCGCCGTACCCTTCAACTCCAATGAATCCGCCCGATTGGGATTGGCTCGATCGCAGGTCGATGAAAACAACTGGTTCGATCGTCGTCGGGTCGATCGTCGTCTGATCGGTGGAGGTTCCTCGCATCCCGGCGGGTGTTCCCTCCGAGGTATCAGCAGCTATTCCTCGCTGCAGAGTTACATGGAAAGCTACGATTCGGAGACCGAATCAGATTGGACGGGCTGAACGATCAGCTCCGTGTCGGTGAGGAAGGTATTTAACGAATTTAAATGAATTTAAAGCTTTTTAAAACCAGTCAACTTTCCCGGAGCGCAGGAGGACCGACAACGGGACGACTTGAATGGGTGTGAAAGCAAAATTAAGTATCAGAGACCATGACACTATGTGGTGCTTTGGGATGCTTTGGGAAGTCTGGATGTGGTCCAAGGACCATTCTTCTTACCTGACCCCAAAGCACAATCTCCTGCTTGTGCTGGCTTCGGATTCACAGTTCACCACAACTGTTGGCTGGCTTCCTCAGCCGAGAAGAGATCCTGAGATGGATCGAAAAGTTAATCCTGCAGCCTGCAGGCAATCAGTAGCGGACATCAATTTTATTCTTAAAAAAACAATTGTATCCACAGGTTCTCTTGTAGGTTTCACTGATAGGTGCAGACTCCATATTTGGAACATCAGCGCCGTTCACCCAGCTGCGGGTGCGGTGATGGATACTGTATTTCCATGATGTTCCGCGCCTCCGAGCCTGCTGTGAAAAGAGAGTGCGATGGGTCAAAGGAAAGGATTTCTGGGAAGAGCAGAGGATTCAGTGCGGAGTGCTTTTGGAGTGCTTTGGACATTTGGATTGTTCGGGTCAGTGCGGCTCATTTTTTCGAAAAAAACAAGAAAAGAGCTCTGACAATCTCAGTGCGGCTCACCTTTTCGGGTCAGTGGAAGAGCTCCACGACTCACCCGCGGATCGACCTCAACGGCTCCACCAGCAGTGCCCGATCGATCGCCCGATCGGGTCGTCTCGCTCGGTCAGGTGCTTTCATTCTGACCACCTTAGTGGCCCTTTCCCTGGTGCCTTGGGACGAGCCGAGGTGGACCAAAACCGGATCCTTTTTAGACCTTGGATGCTCTGTAGGTAAGTCTTCTTAGATCAAATATGATCAAATCATTTTGAACTCCCTGGATCAGTATGGATTGGAACATCCGACCAGGCAGCTTATTCCGAAAAGACAGAGGTTTTTCGCATCGATGTCCACCAAATTGGATCCCCTGAATCTTCACCCATGACAACTCCCTGGCTCACTCGAGCTCATCACAAGCAAGCTGGACTCCCTTTCAGTTTCACCCACAGCACCAATCTGTCCGCCATTGCCACATCTACTCTGGGATGTGCAAGCTTCATCTTCATCCTCTTTGCTAGGGTTTCACCGATCTTTCACGGCCTTCATTCGGCAGAGCTTCGGCAGCCCCCGCAAAACCACGGCGGGTTTGGCCGAACCGAACGCGAAGCCGATGCTTCCCGGAGGGTGGGGGGGCGGCCGCTGAGGCCTTCGTTTCCTTCAGATCTTTGAGCTTAAGATGGGCCTGCCCACCGCCACGCACCTCGGCCCCGTTCCCGCGGAGCACCAGCGTCACGACAGACGCAAGCGGAAGGGCCGATTTGGACGGGTTGGAATGCACCGGTAGCGGTAGCGGAAGACGGGAGCGAGCGCGGAGCGAGGGCGGAGCGAAGGAGCTCGGAGGAAGATTCACAGCTTTAGCATGTTGTTAAACTCTAAGTGGATCAATCAGTGTAAGCGATGGCATGTGTCCTTTACAACTCTGTGATTTTGCCGTGAATCAATGATGTGTCCAACTGAAGGAGCGCGCGCTCTTACAACGTAACGGGACGGATCATCCCAGTGCATCAGTCCGTCCGGGACGTTTGGAGGATCGATCGACAGGATGGCGCCAGACCGTTTTGGCGGACCTGTCGCGTAGAAAGACCCACAGTGTATAGTGGCGGTTTATAGATGTAATAATCCTATGGCAGGATGGCTGCAATACTTTCTGTGGAATTGTCAAGTCTGAGGCGGCTCGTGGGGACAATATAGGGTGGGTCAAGACACCTCAAGACCGTGGCAAGATGGCATCCTGAGCAGTGCACATTGTTCGTGTGGGGGTCAACGAGGCCAAACCGTTTGACCGCCGCTTGTGGTTGGTTAGACTATTATGGTAATATCAATATTTCATTATTTTCCGCTTATGTGACAAATAATCGAATCCCAGGGGTTAATTTTGACATGATCTATTATGCAGATGACACTGTACTTTTCTCACGGAAACAACCGAGCATTAAACGAATTGCTGAAATTGACAGAGAAAATCTCCAGTGGATACGGACTTGGTCTCAATAAAAACAACTGTGTTGCTATCACTATGAACAACAACGGTTGTATTCATTTTCATGACGGGACCCCTTTGAACAAAGAATTTGAGGCCATGTATCTTGGAAATGAGATAAGCAGGACTGTAAATATAAAACATGAACTCCTCAATAAATTGTCAGAGGTCAGAAGGACCTGGTTTAAGCTCAACGCCTATTGGAAAGCTTCTGGAGCCAGCAAAAAGTGGAAGCTAATCATTTTTGATGCTATAATCCGGAGTAAGCTTTTATATGGGTTAGAAACTATATACTAGGCTGAAATGACAAAGGACTTGTGAAAACTACCTCCAAATTGCGGCGGCTAAGTCATGAAGGTTTAGCCTACCCCCCACAAGTATTTATGTCATGAAGCAAAAGCTTGGAAAAACCTCAAAATCAGAGATGCCAGAGGTTGTCACCAAAGATCCTAAAAACAGTTGATTTTATATTGACAAGCATCATGACATACGACTTTGGTATCTAAACAATGAATAAACCATCGAGAGATAGGAATTTGAGAGCAAAAACGCACAAAGGCAGACTTAATGAGATAGTAATGTGTTCGTCATCTCACCCTAATCTTCCAGGAGCATGCCCCCCACCAACCCCCCCCCCCCCGAAAAAAAAAAAAAAACTCAGGACCAGGTCAACAAGGCCTATGTCATGAGTGTGTGCCAATGAAATTGCAAATTTTACATTTGTACATGACTTAGGACTTGCCCTGGGAAAGTTGTATGTCATTTCGACCCAATTGGCCTAAGTCATCTCACCCTAGTATATATACATTTAACCCAGGCGCTAAGCAAATCACTACATGCTTTCCAATTAAGAAGCTTGAGAAAGATTCTCAAAAGACCGTCTACTTTCATAGATCGGTCATGTACGAATCAAAAGATTCTTGAGGAAGCAGCTGCCCTTGCCTTCCCAACTCGTGGCGATAACAGACAAATTATACGTTTCAGTGATTACCATATTTACAGACGATGTAAATTACTTGGGCATATAATTAGAAGCAGTAATGATGACCCCATGAGACAAGTATCATTCGTTGATAGCACTGCATCCAGAGTTGATTACGGCACCAAACGAGTTGGGAAACCGAGGCAAAACTGGCTGCATATCACAATTAAATTTGCATACGAAAACGTTTTAAGACATCATAATTTCGATGAAAGCACCGATGATGCAAGAATATATGCAGCAAATTGAACAGATATTTTTAATTACCATTCTTTGGCTGTGCCAACGCCTTGCAATAAGCCCGTCCGGACCAGGTCGGCGTGAGGTATGGCTGGGAATAAGTATTTCATTATTTTGGCGCAGGTTTCAGTTGGAATCTTGTGACGGGATGTTTGTCTCATTTGTAGGAACATGTAGGAACTTTGCTCTGTCACTCTTCTCATGTTGCTCATGCTGCCTGGGTGGATCCCCAAGTCGACAGCTCAGCTTTGGTAGATCCCCAAACCGGCCACGACTGCTCCAAGGTATGGGATATGAGTGCCTTGCCAGCGAGGAGATACCTTGGACTGGGCGATCGGATGAGGCCGTGCCACTGACCAGCCAATTTGATGAGGACATCCTCCTTCTGGCTTAATTCAACGGCAGGGTTGGCTGCTTTCCAAGATGGGGGTTTGAAATATGCATACTTAATTGACTTAGTTCATGAAAGGACTGAATCATTGTTTGTGTCTCGTGTGTCCAACAGAATAGCACCTTATTGTTTGAACGTTTTTTCTCCCCCACAAAGACCACCAATACCAATATTGATGTGAAATCGTTGTTTTTCCGACCAAAGCTGACAGAGCGGAACAACTGGTTGGGAGAAACCAGTTTGTCTACTAGGTCCACAAAAGACCTTGGATTTGTTGGTTTTGCTGAAAGTGAACTTGTCAGCAACTTTTCGTTGGTTAAGGCTGGTCACTTTTTCAAAAAATCAGTTAAGGGGGGTTCCGATGGTTCTGTGACACTCTCGTGCTATCAGTATCAGTTGCAATTCTTGAATGCTTTATCACGAAAGGTAGCCCTTTAGGGGATACCTTGAGTTTGTCTTGCGAAGCAAGTGTTGGGACGTCCGGGTCTAATAATTGATCGCTCAATTCAGACCCCCCCCCCCTCCCCCCCTCTAAAATCAATTCTCTCCTGGAGAACGTCTTCGTGAGCCTCTCATGATTTCAGGATAGTTGAAACCCTCTTGAACATTTAGAAAGAGTGAATATGAAATTCTAATCACGAAAGGTGATCCCCGAGGGGATACATACCTAGAGTTTGTTTTGTGAAGCACGCCAATTCTCTCCTGGGGAGCGTCTTCGTGAGCCTCTTATGGTTTCAGGATAGTTCAAATCCTATGATGTTCCGATTCAATGCTCACCGATGATCTGAGCCATGGGGCAAGTTTGTTTTCCTAAGAACCTTTTTGAATATTTCGAGAGCATATGTTTGAACATTTAGAGTGCATATGAACATATATTTACGAAAGGTCGCCTCCGAGGGGATAAATCACCATGTCGAACATTGCATTTTTGTTCCTGCCTCTCGCGTTCTCTTCTCTTCCCGCTGTCCTACCTTTCGTGTCTCCCTCCTCTCAAGTATATTTGGGAAGGCAGGGCCAGGTCAAAAGGATACATCTGACATGCATGTTCATTACTTTCTGACTATAAGACTGCCTCATCAGGGGGGCGCAACCCTGTGCTTAATTCGATTTGTCTGTAAACTACGAGTCGCTGGTTCAGACATCAAGTATGGCTGCATAAAGGCCATTCCGCAGCACACTGCATTTGTTCATCACTAAAGTCTGAGGTGAGGTGCTGTGTGATGGGTTCTTGCTCAACACAAGCAATCCCTTCAGGAGCAAATAGAGTCAATTGGGGCCTCAACGAATATGGTTTCAAGATACCCAGATCACCAGAGGTGTCCTCAAGACCCTGATGCGGGGAAACTGGGCCCTCTAGCGAGG